GGGTAAAGTTGAATGGTTGCAAGGAGAAAACTAGCTATGCATTTCCTACATGAGGTCCCATTTTAGAATGGCGTTTTGCAGCCATTTGTATATAAGTGTGTTCAACTCGAAGCATATGGTTTTGCTATTAAAAACCTCAGCGCTTTAGCAGTTTGCATAATTTAATTTTAAAAAATATATTGAAGAACTCAAGTTTTGTTAACACAATGACTGCAAAATGTATTTCAATTTTTAGCAATGATAAGGGCTCCAATGCACATTTTTTTGTTAAACTGCAAAATCATGTAGAGAAATATGTACAATCCAGGTCCTCATTCTAATTAAATAAAGCTCGCTGAGGGCCGCAAAGAAAATGTTAACAGGGTGCATGTGGCCCAGAAAGCACCAGCTTGGCATGTCTCTGTAATTGTAGTGTACAGCATACTGAACCTGGAAAACCGTTTCAAAGTGCTTGCAAAAAATTTGATACAAATATAACTTTTTACCTGACAGTGAATATATATGGATGTTGCCAGGAGAGCACAAGAGTGCCTTGAAAAACATTTTATTTTATTTTTTTTCTACCTGGTTTTACTGTTCATTTTTCCCCCAGTATACACTGAGAAAATTGGAGGTGGATTATTTAATCACAGGCTTAGTTTCCTGTGACATCTGTTTTGTTAAGACCGGTGGCTGCTATGTCCTGTATTCCTGCAGCCACCAGTCTTGTCTTTACGCCACTGTAGTTTCTTACAGCAAGCAGGGTTGCAATTCCATCCCTGCTCGCTGAAGTGGGTGGACCCAGGAGTCTCAGACTCTCGGTCTGAACCTCCCATTGATGCGCATGTCATCAGACAGCTGGAGTCTCTACCCCTCTCTCAGCAACCCATGCCTGCCTTGTAGATTAGCCCTATGCCAAATTTCTAATGTACCTGCCCACACTCATGCCCTTCCTTCTCACTCTACAGATATGCATTTTTCAAAAGGTGAAGTTATTATTTAACAACCTTAGCTGTATGCATGAATATCCCCTAGTTTAAAAAAAAAAAAAATTTAAAAAATAATATATCTTCTAACAGTATGTACCTGAGATTGTGTTTTTTTTTTTCTCATGCATAGGATTACATTTGTGGTAGGAGGGAAGACCAAGGCCACCATTGTAAATGTTCTCCAAAATTTAGTCTCTCAATGACTATAGTTCTGGAGTATATCACAGCTAGCCTCTCAACCACCTCTAGATACAAGTATACAATGCATACCATGCCCATATACGTAGGGTTCACAATTGTATATTGCTCATTTCATGTCATTATACGAGTCCATCCTATATATGCACAGAGTAGGTGGTTGTTCTCTCAACATGTTTAACTATCCATTTCTTTTAGGCGCAATCTAGGTCACACTATTTAATCTGTATATATTTCGTAATCCTCGCTTTACAGATATTCCTAGTTACAGTTGATTATTTTTATCATGTGTATATAAAGAAAAATAAATCAAAGCCCAGCAGAACATATGGTAGGACAGATGTTCCCCCTATGTGCAGACTCAAAGTCCAAAGATGATCTATAGGTGTATCCAAAAGCAGAGAAAAATCAAAAATTGGTAACCCCTCCCAAAACTGTCATCCTACCATATGAACGTGTTCTCCAAGTTTTATTGCATTATATGGTGGAGGTGTTTTTTTTTTATTAAATACAAATGTTAATCTTAGCTATAATTAACTAGGGATTGCTAAATATAGGAACTGTCCTAAAGAAGTGGATAGTGTAACATTTCTAAGTTTGTTTTAGAATAATGCAGAACGTGCAGGGTCTGGGGACATTACTAGTGATTGCACCACTAGTACAAGTAGGCCTGAGTTACTGAACCTTTGTAAATCTGGCCAGTTTAACAGGATTTTTGTGATACCGAATTCCTTCTCCTTTCCCCTCTATATTTTATTAGACAACCATACAATAAAAATAAAAATACAGAAAAAACACATACATGTCGAAAATGTTATCTTCTGCAGGTATATTTACTGTACTGTCAATATTTTTAGAGGGAATAAGGGATTATTGGGGGTGGTTTACTAAAGGCAAATAGTCTGTGCAGCTTGCAAGTCAAGTTGCTCTAATTTTCCCAAAGCTTAGTGAATGTGCTAAAGCTCTACTTATTTCCATCATCCAATCGTGTGCAAGCAGAAATGTTTTTTTTTTTTTTTGTTTCTTTCTTGCACCTGATTTTTTTTTTCTTCACCACATTCACTCATTTTGGGGGAAAATGAGTGCAACTGTACTTGCAAAATGTCTATTTGTGTTTAGTAAATCAACCCCACTGTATAGTTGTGAACCTGCATGCAGTGATAGTGCAGCTCCAGTATTTAACAGGAATATGTGACATTATTTAAATGATGACTGCATGATTACACAAATAATTATCTGTCAGGCAGATATGGGCTTGCTTCAGTGCAGAGATGCTAATGTGAACAAGCCTTTACGCGATTTAAAGCTTACAGTTTCTGGTTTTTGTTAAGCCACTGTCTCATGAAATGTAATAAAATAAATTGCCGATTTGATACTTCTCTTGTGATACTGAGTGATTTAGACTACAGCAGTCGTACAAACATTCACTATGTACTCAATGCAGCTAGCAACCTATTATTTCCATTAGGACTGTGTGGAAATAATTGCACACGGTTCTTAATGGCAGATGTGTCATCCTCTGTTTGGGTTCTGGCATTGTTAAAACCTTGTGCATGTATATATTCATGTCCCATTACATTCATGTAGGGTTCAGTTGGCAGAGTGGTCTCTGGAGAAGGTGGTGTAAGAAAAATGCAGTTTGTACATACCTCTCAATCTGTGCCTGCTAGAGAGTACCGAGTATCAATACACCATATTGGGTGTTTGCTATGCCTTTTTCCCCCATAATGCTACAGGTGAATTATGTTAATCACAATGCTGCAAATCTCTGCCTACAAATGCATGGAAGACAGTCTGTTTTTACCTTTTCCACAGGGTAAAATTGCATGAAATCTGATATGATGCATAATTGTGTAAACAAGCTGAATATCAACATCAAGAAGATCTTATGACATTAAGAACGCATCATGTGACATGATGATAAATTGAATGTATGTCTGCAATTCTTGCAAAATATTTTATATTAATGATTCTTACAATAAAATATTCAGATTTTCATACTTTGTCCTTTACTCATATATAAAAAGGTAACTGCCATACTCCTGAATACGATGTACACTATTCATTCCCTAACAGACAGGCATCGTTTAAATATTGCTATAATGCAAAAGCCAAGCACCAACCAAAATCATTTCATTTTTTAGTAACTTTCCTAAAGTACTTAAAGCAACTTTGTCACTAAAAGCATTCTTGAAACTAAATCTACACCCACAAAAGGAACCATGAAATCCCTCCCACTGCCCGTGCCAAGAATCTCTGCATAAGTGAAGAGAAGGCACCAGCTAGTGATCCTACAGGATCCGATACGTTCAGATACCAATTTTCTGGTCACCCCACTATAAGCTGTGGTTCCTCCTACTAGACTTTACAACTCTACTGACTGTAGTGGATTAGCCATGGGACCTGGAATCTGACACACCCAGAAGAGTGAGCTGGAACTCTGAGCTCTCTTTAAAAGATGCCTGTGCTGAGAGTATTATGAAGTTTAATGTTTTTGTTTTAATCTGCACTTGGGGCCAATGAATAATTAATTTAAAAAAAAATGCCCCTTGTGCTGGTGGCTTCATGGATATCTTAGTTCCTCTGCCCCCCTAAATACACACCCTCAACTGGAAGCTGTGATCTGGAAGCTGGGACCTGTCACAGGCGCTCCTCAAAAGTTGCAACTATGCCCGCCCTTTACTGTCATCCTGCTTTATTCATAAAAGCTGTACTGTCACTTCCCTTATAAAAAAGACTGAATGAATGGAAGGGGTGGACCTTTCATTCATCTGCCCTTCCTTTATGCTTTGCAAGAAGTGATAGTACAGCTTGTAAATCAGAAGTAAAACCCTCCTATCCTTTTCAGCCAAGGAAGCTGCCATCTTGGCCTCGGTTTGATTTGCAACATGGTGCAGCACGTCATCAATTATGGGACCAACCATTTGATGGTTTAACAGTTCCATTGAGAGTGTAGGCAAATGTGACAGTTAACATTCCTAGTATGCCCTCGGAAGGTAACTTTTTAAAAAAAACTGCTAAAGCGATGGGTTTAGTTCCGCTTTAAAGTGGAACTAAACCCCCTATTCTTTAAAGCAGGGGTCTCCAAACTGCCGTCCGGGGGCCAGATGCTGCCCTTTGCTTGCCTTTATCTGGCCCTTGGGGAACTGTTCCTCCCACTGACATTAGCAATGGGGCATAATTCCTGCCACGGACATCAGCACATGGGGCACTGTTCCTCCTACCGAGACTAATGATGGGACATTGTTACCAATGCCTGGACATTTTCTACTCCCGCTGGTGCTACAGTAACATGTTACACCCTGACTATGGGTGTAACATTTAACATACTATGGAAGGTGAACTTATCTTTTAAAGTGGAGCTAAACTCTCCTATTTTTTCAGCCAATGAAGCAGCCCTCTTAGCCTCTGATCTGCAACTGCCATGGTGCTGCACATGTGACCAGTTGTGACACTAGCAATTTGATGGTATGACAGTCTGGTGGGAGCACAAGCAAATGTGACAGCATTCCTGGCCTGCCAGGAAAGGAATATATTATATATACACATATATACACACACAAACACACTGTTAAATCGATGGTTTTAGCTCAGCTTTAAAAACTGGACATTAACCATTTGCCGACCAGTGACCATACAGATTGCAGCACCCACCATTTTATTCTCTTGGGCCTCTGCTTTAAAAATAATACTGATAGTACATGTGACAAAAAAAAAAGACTTCTAAAAATGATGCACAAGAAAGCCCGCAAACAGTTTGCTGAAGACAAGCAGACTAAGGACATGGATTGCTGGAACCATGTCCTGTGGTCTGATGAGACCAAGATAAACCTATTTGGTTCAGATGGTGTCAAGCGTGTGTGGCAGCAACCAGGTGAGGAGTACAAAGACAAGTGTGTCTTGCCTACAGTTCAAGCATGGTGGTGGGAGTGTCATGGTCTGGGGCTGCATGAGTGCTGCCGGCACTGGGGAGCTACAGTTCATTGAGGGAACCATGAATGCCAACATGTACTGTGACATACTGAAGGAGAGCATGATCTCCTCCCTTCAGAGACTGGGCCAGAGGGCAGTATTCCAACATAACGACCCCAAACACAACTCCAAGAGGACCACTGCCTTGCTAAAGAAGCTGAGGGTAAAGGTGATGGACTGGCCAAGCATGTATCCAGACCTAAACCCTATTGGGCATATGTGGGGCATCCACAAAACAAAAAGGTGGAGGAGTGCAAGGTCTCTTAACATCCACCAGCTCCGTGATATCGTCATGGAGGAGTGGAAGAGGACTCCAGTGGCAACCTGTGAAGCTCTGGTGAACTCCATGCCCAAGAGGGTTAAGGCAGTGCTGGAAAATAATGGTGGCCACACAAAATATTGACACTTTGGGCCCAATTTGGACAATTTTCACTTAGGGGTGTACTCACTTTTGTTGCCAGCGATTTAGACATTAATGGCTGTGTTATTTTGAGGGGACCACAAATGTACTCTGTTTTACAAGCTGTACACTCACTACTTTACATTGTAGCAAAATGTAATTTCTTCAGTGTTGTAACAAGAAAAGATAGAATAAAATATTTACAAAAAATGTGAGGGGTGTACTCACTGCTTTGAGATACTGTATATATATATATATATATATATATATATATATATATATATATATATATATACACACACACACACACACACACACACACACACACACACACACACACATATATATACACATACACACATATATACACACACACAAGAGCGGACTGACAACTCATGGGGCCCCCGGGCAATAGGGGATCATGGGGCCCCTGTGTCCTTGCCCAAACTCAAAAAAGCCTATGAAAAAAAAAAAAAAAAAAGTACCAGGGGCATCTCTTGGGGCCCCCTACTGACAGTGCCCGAGTTTCCAAATAGTCAGTCCGCACACCTGGCGTGGAATATTTATTAGCAAGGAAATTTCAGGTACCATGCTTGAATTCACTGAGCTCCTGAGAGCGACCCATTCTTTCACAAATGTTTGTAGAAGCAGTCTGCATGTCTAGGTGTTTGATTTTATACACCTGTGGCCATGGAGGTGATTGGAACCTCTGAATCCAATGATTTGGAGGGCTGGCCCAATACTTTTGGCAATATAGTGTATATAATAAAAAAAGCACTGTACTTTTTTCCCCCATATAAGATCACATGATCTCGGTTTCCAACTGCATTTGGGGATTAGAGAGCTGGGGGTAGAGAATACATCTGGGTACATCAGCGGGAAGCAGAGAAGTAGCAGTACAAGGATTTTCCCAGTAATTAGCTGTATAGAGGGTGTATCAGCACAAGTCTGACCACTGATGTACAGGCAGGGCTGTGCTCCCAAGTAGAATTCAAAGAAGAAAACTGACCACACTGAGATGGATGTGTTCTGCCTAGTGTGGTCACTTTTTAACAGGAAAACAGAGGGACTGGCAGGAACACCAGGGATTGCACAAAAAGGCAGAATGCAAAGAGAACAGGAGACTTTTTCATACAAGTACATGGTACAGCAGGCACATATCAGGAATATGAAGCGATGGAATAACATGTTCATTTTAGTATATCTTTCCTGAAAACGTTTGATTTAAAATGTAATTATACAGGGTTTCTTCTTTCAGAACTTGTTTAAAAAATTGTGTGCAATTAATTTTTGTAGCAAAAACGCAGATTTTAATGTGTTGTGAATTTTTTTTTAAAAAAGTCCCCAGACATGCAGTGGTTAAACGGGACATCTATGCCGCTCCGGGCTCCGGGATGGGGCTCAGTGCTCCCCTATATCGTAGCTGGATGGATGACAGAGCTCCGCTCACAGGAACGGCTGTCATGTGTCCTGGGTGACAGCTGGCTCCTGATTGGCTGAGGCGGAGTAGTGAAGTTGTCAGTGAGAAGTGTGTAGATGAGGAATGTACGGAGGAGGGAGGAGAGCGCCGGCCGGGCTCCGGGAACTCACAGCAGCCCCGCTCTGATGGATGGACTGCCGGTACTCTGCTGCCCGGAGCCCGATATCTCCCGGGGTTATTAGCCGACAATCCCCGGGGCGGGACCCCTGAAGTGCCGGGACTGCGGCGGAGGAGAGCTGCGGACTGGCGGCGATCATCCGAAGCTCCGCGGATTCTGCAGTCTCACTGCGCCTGGGCTCAGCCTTCTAACGGGACAGATCGGCCCCTATGAGACATCCCTGTATGCCATGGGGGCCGCTGAGCACTGACCTGCCCCACCTGGGGGCCCCATGCACTGACCCCGGAGCGGTATGGCAATTGTGGACACAGTCCGGATCACAGCTCTGGAGATGGAGAAGTATTACAGCCTGCAGCAGGCTGCCTCCCGCCTGGACTCCCTGCTAGAAGGTAAGTGTGTGTGTGGGGGTCAGGGGGATGAGGCTTCAGTGATGGCAGGAGGATGATGCTTGAAGCACACTGTGTGCAGGTGTCAGAAGGATGAGGCTTGGGTGAGGTGGGTTAGGATGATGCTTGAGTGATGTGTGCAACAGTCAGGAGGATGCCACTTGGGTTAGGCGAGAGTGTCAGGAGGATGATGCTTGAGTTGTGTGTAGGTGTCAGAAGGATGATGCTTGGGGGGGGGGGGGGGGGTGTGTGTGCTTGTGTGTGTGTGTGTGTGTGTGTGTGTGCGTGGGGGGGGGGGGCTCAAGCAACAAGAGGATGTTGCTTGAGCAGTGTGTGCGGGGGGGTCTGGCGGATGGTGCTTCAGCAGCGTGTGCGGGGGTCTGGCGGATGATGCTTCAGCAGCGTGTGCGGGGGTCTGGCGGATGATGCTTCAGCAGCGGTGGGGGGTCTGGAGGATGATGCTTCAGCAGCGTGTGCGGGGGTCTGGCGGATGATGCTTCAGCAGCGTGTGCGGGGGTCTGGCGGATGATGCTTCAGAAGCGTGTGCGGGGGTCTGGCGGATGATGCTTCAGCAGTGTGTGCAGGGGTCTGGCGGGTGATACTTGGGTTTGGTGTATTAGAGTGATGATGCTTGAGATGGATGACGCTATCTGCTTCTGCAGGTAGGTTTAGGATTCTTGGAAACCCCTTGGTGTATGTACAGTCTCTCTAAGTTCTGCATGAACTACATGCTGCTTGAAGACCTTTTGGGCCAAATACCATAGTGCTCTGGTACCCAGCATGTGCTCCCTGAGGCACCTGCAGGTAGTAGTCTGTTTTCATTACCTAGGTGCTTACTGTAACCAGTAAAGGGAATCTGTTCTTTAGCCTGGGTTATAACCAGGGCGTTTTCTGCAGGAAGTCAGGGGAAGGCAGTTTTCGCACCTCAAGATTGAATGTATATAATGGTAAGTGTGTTGGCTGTTGGGCTGTATTGGAGGGTCCATTGATGCTGGCTGCTGGGGATCTATTTCTGAATGGGGGTCTATTGTTGCTAGGGAGGTCAATTATTGCTGTTGGGAATCTATTGTTGCTGGGGGGGGGGTGTCTTATGTTGCTGGGAAGGATCTACTGTTGATAAGGAAGTCTATTGATGCTGGCTGCAAGAGGGTCTACTGATACTGGCTGCTGGGAGATCTGTTGTTGCTGCTGGGGGGTTATATTGTTGCTGGGGATGGTCTATTACTGCTAGGGTGGTTTTGTTGCTGGGGTCAATTGTTGCTTGGCGGGGATCTATTGTTGTATAGGGGGTCTATTGTTACTGGCTGCAGAGGATCTGTTTTACTTTTCTTGTTATTAACAAATTACATACTAATTACTTAGCACTGCAAAATAATTGGTTCGGTTTTCTCTAAAAAGGGTGGTACGGGTAGGTGGGCAGGGGATGTAACCATAGGACAGTGCTCAGAGGTGCGTAGGGGGAGGAGAAAAGGGGTGATTTAGAAAGGGGGAGATCCTGAACCTTTTCTCTGAGATAAACAGCCATGGTTATAGCAGTGAAATGGCTCATTTTATTTCCTTGACATTATTTATTTCTGCTGTGCTTTCATTTCCCTTTTTGGGTTTTTTATATGTTATAATGGATCTTGCTAAGAGATATCAAATGTGGAACAAATTCATTTTTAAGGGGGTGCTGCAAGTAGCTCAGATGTGGCATGCGGGCTGGTGTGTGTTGCAACAACGCAAAGTAGCATTTTCTTATTTTTGAAATGTCAAATTGAGATTTCATTCATTCCTATGCACAGCAGCAGATAGTGTAGCAAAAAGATGACTTCTTGTGAGCTCAGAAGCATTGCAAAAAGGGGAACCTTGAGATGTGTTTTGTGAATGCAATGGCCTGCTACTCTTGCACCTTGTTTTTCTTTTTTGAAAATGTTTAATAAATATAGATTATACAGAAAAAAAAGAAGCATTGCATAAAAATACAACATGCCTACATTTTGTAACATGCACTGCAACTAGGCTGAAGAAAGCATTGCAGTGTGAACAGAGCAAATAGAAAGCAATTGTATTCTGTGTGCTTTTGCAGTGTCTGGTATTGATGCAAAAACACCATTCACCACACAGTGTAAATGGGCCCTAAAGGGGCTGTAGTAGAAATGCTCTCTAGTCATTTCATGTCGTGTGTAATGGATCTCCTGACACCTACAATTCCTACAGCATGTTTTCTGACCATCTCCTCTAGCATATCTGCAGTCTCTGACAGCTTTTTGTAGCATTACATATTATGTGCTGCCCATTGATGACAGGGGCCATCCTTGATGCACCTAGATCAGGGGTCTCCAAACTTTCTAAACAAAAGGGCCAGTTTACTGTCCTTCAGTCTTTAGGGGGGCCGGACTATGGCCATCGGGAATACAAAATGTCCCAGCATCAGTGGGAGTAAACAATCTCCTATCATTGTGTGACGGAGGAATTGTGCCTCACCATTGGTATCATTAGGAGGCAGTGTACCCCTTAATTGGTGTCATTGGGGGAACTATGCCCCATCATTTATCTCATTGGTAGGAATTTGCCCATCATTGGTGTCATTAAGAGGAATTTTCATTGGTGTCAGTGAATTAAATAGTGTCCCAAGGGCCAGATAAAAGCAAACAAAGGCCCGCATTCAGCCCCCCATGCTACAGTTTTGAGACCACTGACCTAGATGAAGAAAAGTTGACCACCAATGGTTTAGCACTCCTGTTGATCACTTGTCGTTTACCTTGATTCAGGTTTGGCAGAACTTGGTTGGTTACATCTCTTTAGGGAATGTTCACAGTAGGTGTGGTGAGCTGTGTTAGTCAGCATTAATCAACACAAGAACACATTGAGATTGTTTCCTAGCTGTCCTGATTACACCATACATGTGTGATGGTGTGTGTTGTGCAGCATGCCTGCGTTTTTACATAGTACAATGCATGTCATCACTTTTCAATTCACTGTAGCATGTTGTATCATGCTGTGGTACTTAGAATAAAGAGGGCTAGTTCACACTATGCCCTGATCTTAAATCACATAGGAACGCACTGTACATTCCTGTGCGATTCATATGTGGGTCTGTGCGGTGCGATTTCAAGCCATTTCATTTGAATGGGCTGAAATCGCACCTCACTAAAAGTAGTCCATGCATTTTTTTTTTTATAAAATGCATGGCAACCACATCACATGGTACTTTGTTCCATGCAGCTAGGTGCGGGCAAACAATGCGTTTGACCAGCGTTCAGGATTTTGTTCACTTTAACTGACCCCCACAGCAGATCACAAGGGCATTCCAATCGGAATGCTGTGCGGGAAGCCACACAGGAACGAGTCTCTCCCGCACCACATTCTAGTGTGAATGAGCCCTAAGTAACATTTTGTGACTAATCCATAAAGTAGTACTAATCAGTTCACACCAGCAGTGGTGCCCTTGTGAATGGATCCTTCAAGCAGTTCTTCAGTCATGGTTAGAAAAAATTAAAAGTTAGCAGCTACAAAAACTGTAGCTGCTGACTTTTAATAATAGGATACTTACCTGTCCAGGATCCAGCACTGTCCTCACCTGCCTGGTTGCAGCTTCACATCAATAAGCTGCAGTGCGCTGTCTGAATGGCCCCAGTGTGACGTCCCAGAAGGCTGCGGGGGAAGAGGGGTTTTCTGGATTGCCGGTTAGATCGCCACAGCGATCTGACTGGAAGTAGGAACCTGTCAAAACCAGGTACCTGCTCCCCCCCGGAAAATAAAATGGAAAATGTTGAGGGGGAGGAGTAAGAGTGGAACGTCCCCTGTAGTGTGAAGTTCTGCTTTAAGTTGAAGTCAAATGTCTATTAGTAAATTCCCTTTCGGCCTCAAACTTACCTATTTGTTAAACTCACCTGGCAGCATAAAAACACTAAATGCATCAAAAAAGTGTAAACGCAGTACCTTGTTTAGCCTCATTTTACGCTTGGATTCATTTGATTAGCCAGAGTATTTTCCATTGACATGGATTAATGTCCGAGCGCTAAACGCAGCTAGTGTTTAGCATTTTTTGCTCAAAACGTTCCTGTCCTGGACATGATTATTTTGTATTCGGAAGAGGAACATTAACTGGCCCTAAACCTCGCTGTGCCAAAACTCTGGTAAAAGCCTATGTGTACATGGACACATAGGCTTTTACTGAGTTGAGTTCAGGGGGCTTTGGCAAAAAAATGCCATAAGTGCCTAAACTCACATTTAGGAGCAGCAGTGTACATGGGGCCTTTTATTTTCTGGAATGATAACCAATTTTTCCAACCCATGCTTTGGGCTTCGTGTATATTTTCTGTGCCCTTACATCACATGCCTAATAGAACTAGTAAATATTGTGCCATGTACTGGTCACATGAATGTCGCTAGGACGGGTTTGCTGGTAGACAGATTATTTTTTTATCTGTGTGGAAATACAAATTGTTCTTTACTGTAAACTATTTGTTAATGGGAGAAGTTCACGATCATTAATAAATCTTCCTACATCACAACTGGAGCGGCATTTTCTTTAAGTTGTCTGAAAAAAAACCCTCAAACACTTGGTGGTGTGAAAAGTGCCCCTTATTGTTGGAGATAGAATGTTTCCTGCTGTGCACCCAGACTGCTGGATATGGCCTTAGAGAAGCCTTTTTCATAGGTGTAGGGAGAGGAATTCCAGGTTCGTCTTTCATTGTACCAACATTGCAGTTCTAGGAAACCCGTAGTAAAGGAAACACGGAAGAGGCCATTGCTGACCTCTTATTGGGAATACTTGTTTTCTGGCAGTCATGCTGATTGATCCATTAGCCTTGGTAGTTTTTGACTTGCTTACATTAAACAAGCATGCAGACCAAGACTTAGGACTTTGCTGCATGCTTGTTCTGGCTCAATACATACAGCAGGATCAACAGGACAACCAACCAGAATATTTAGGAGGTCAAGAAATGGCCCCATAAGTCTGTTTACACAAGCTTCCCACAAACAAAATTAAAGAGCAAAGGCTTCATAAACCCTGG